TCCCGGGGCAGGGGGGGGGGAGCCGGGCAGCCCCCAGGGAAGGTGGCAGGTGGGATGTCGTTCAGTGGCTTGGAAAGGACCAGGGGACACAGGGTAGGGTGGTGAGTTAGTCGCAGTGGGCAACCCAGCGCCCAGGCTGCCAGGGCTGGTAGGGGTGAAGGCAAGAGCCGGGAAAGGGCAACCCAGCGCAGGAGACTTACCGTGGGGCAGGGACGTGCGTGAGAGCACCCAGGATCACACGGACGCTGTGATTCACAGCCCTGGTCTGGCAGGGCGCGTTTGGCAGGAAGGTCCCCAAGGTACTGAAAGGTCCTCGGAGATGATGGCAGTGCCTGAGCCCGCGGCAGGGCACAGTGGTCCCCGCTCTCATGCCCCTGCCCGACAGCACGGACCCCCCAAAAGCCATCTCCCCAAGCGGGTATCATTACCACCAGGGTTTTCCAGGCCAAAGCCTGTCCCCAGCCCCCTTTCCAGCTTGGTTCACTGGGATGAAACTCACTGAAGCCAAAACCAGGATCAGACCTCTTCCTTTTCAGTGGTGGTGGCTGCTACACAGCAAAAGGGGATTTCTGCCTTGCTGATTGCTCATGGAAAGTCCCTGACCGGCCCACAGCCACAGAAAAATGGAAAATATAACTTTAATACCAACTTGGTGGCATGCTCTCTATTTTTCTCTCCTGTGACTAGTTACCATGGATAGATTTCTGAGGTCGACAGTGCAATTGTTCACTGCACTGCTCCTATTAAACAGAAGATGAGCAAATCATCCCGCTCGCACTGTACTTTAATTTCCAGAAATTCTTTGTTCGTTTGTTTGCTTAAATTATTTCTCTAATTTAAAGAAACAATGCTGTCTTACAAAGTGATGGCCCAAATCTCTCGAGTAACCCTGCTGTGGTTCATTATTTTTACGCTAGTTAACAAGGAAGGTAATTTCCCTAAGGTTTAATAGAAAATCTTCTTTCCATAACACAGAGAGGCAGGACATTTTAACAAACTCACTACTTAGTGCATTCCAATTATGTCGCCGGTGAGGGATATCCTAGGCAAGGCACAAGTCCTCCTCTGGGGTCCAGTACAAAATCAGGTACCCTAAATTGAGTTTCTTCACTCAAAGTGGAGATTCAGTTCAGCTGAGATCTCTCAGCTGGAATAGGGGATCTGAACACCCCAAAATGTGGTGACAAACGCAAAAATCAGGTACTCGAGTTGACGCTTGCTCATCAGCCACCCCTGTCTTCCGCTGAGCATGGCCTCTCTCACAACAGCTTCAGCTCCCCTTGGGAACGAGCTTCTGAAGCATCTGTTCTCATCCCAAAACGTGGAATGGCTTATCCCAGTACCCTGGGACAAAACCTGTGATACTGGAGGGGCACATCCACACACAGAGCAGATGTCTCGCTGCAGTGGGTGTGCTGAAAGAGACAGGCGTTATGGCTGTGACCGCCAAGACCTCCAGCCCTCACACTGGGTCTGCCACCAGTGTCTCTCAAGAGCTCTGTCTCCACGTCCAGGACGGCAGCTATACCTCGACAGAGCTCTACGCCCTCCGGCTGCAGAGAGGCATCCTTCAGCCAGAGCTCGGTAATGGCACTGCAGTGAATTAGTGCCACGTTATGGACCATCCTTGCACTTCTGTTTTGCTAAGAAGGACATGGATCGCAAAGCAAGCAGGACACATGCTCATTGCCTGACCAGAAAGTGCCTTTCTCAACAGCTTTGCAAATCTCTTTGCATGACAAAACAGAACATGTCATAAAGAAGTCTTAATCTGATGGTGATGACCTCTACTGTCACGTGGGTCTCGTGAACATCTCACAGGAAGGATGATCACGAGTGTGAGGAGGCAGACCCTGCTCTTTGCACAGCATAAACAGGTGCAATCTGGCCAGCAGTATCCAAGTGGTTAATCAAACACAGATCAAAGATAAAACAGATCAGAAACACACTGAAAAACAAGCAAACACCTCAAACGTGCAAGAGCCCAGCAAACCTCTGTTGAGACACACATGCAGGTGAACTGCGTCAAGGAGTTCATGAACCATTGCCGCAATTCCTCTTACCGTGCAACAGCCTCAAACTCCAGTCACGCCATAGCACCACTTTAGCAAGTAGCTCTTGGGACATCATACCAATGCCTTGGCACATAATTTTTTTTCCCTCCATGCCTGTGCTGGGTGAGAAGCACTGCTGGCTAAACTGCCTTTACTTATAAGGGCATTTGCCCTACAAGTGCTTCTGCAGCCCTGCTGACCAGATCCTTTTAATATTATTTATACAATAGGATTTGTCAAGCAACCGCTACAGCTGTTTGCACACCGAGTCTTCTCCCTTATCCAGACGGGGAACCGCGATAATACTGAGTGCCTCGGACAGCCAAACAAATCACGCCGTATAAATAATAAATAACAGCCTGGTTAATCACAAACAGTCGGTGAACAATCTAGAGATTCCCACAGACTCCCTGCTGCAAGAAAGGAAATAAGAAAATGTCCTGACCTAAGCAGAGGTGAGTCCCATATACACACACACACACAGATCACAGGGAGATCACAGGAGCTGTTTGCAGATCACTTACTGAACATGAATAATTCAAGCCGAAGCAGCTTGAAGTATGCGAACAGATAGTAGATGCAAGCTTGCCACTGGTGCTTTTGCAGGTTTTATTTTATTAAGCAGGCCAAAGAAACCACAAACCAAAAGAAAAGTTCTCAGCCTAGTGCTGCCGGTCTCTTGACTTAACTGCAAATCTCATGCTATACAGGGTTTTACCTGATCCACAGCTGCCAGCTTATTATAAGCATCCTTTCCCTTTCTTTTCAAGGCAGTTTTGTGATTTGAGGTGGGGAGAGGGGAGAACGCATATTTTTCAGACCTTCAGGAGCTACCAACAGAGGTAACATTGCCTAATTCCAAGAAGCAACAGGTCATACCTCCGGAAAAAAAAGGAGTTTCCTTCAAGCGATCACAGCAGCTATCAACTTCCAGGCCTCCTCCCACTCCCACCGACTTCTCTGGGAACACAAACAGCACTAAAAAGGAGAAATGAAAAAATCCTAGAGTTTCTTCATTTTTCCTAAGCAGGAAATAAAGCAGGTACTGAAACAGGCAAAGAGCAACCCTGATGGGCTTGTGGATGCTGGATGCCTGCCATCCAGGGGAGCGAATGTCTCGGTGGGAGGGCACGGACAGAGAGGCCTCTTGATTCCTTGGGGCACGGGTAATTAGAGATTGGAAAGTCTTTCCTCTCTTTTCTCCCCTCGTTTCAGCTGTTAGAAAACACCAGTCTCCCTCGCGGGATTTACTCTGCCAGGGAATGGCAGCGAGTGCCAGTGCCACACATCCTGAAACGCTGCCACCGCCAGCTGTGTCTCCAATTTACAGTGGCGTGACAGGAGTTAGCAATAACCATGCTGGGACCTGAAGAGCCCTGAGGGTCAGAGCGGGAGCCGGGGACTCTCGGAGACCAGTTTAAAGCCTTCAGACCCTTCTGTCCCAGAAGAGTTAATGCTTTAGTGGGGTTCAGCTCTGCAGGAGAACAGATGGGGAAAAAAGATGCCAGGGAGGAGGATGGAATCGAGAAAAAAACAAACAAATAAAAAAACCCAAAAAAACAACAA